TTCTCCTTCTCCTTTTTTTTTTTTTTTTTTTTTTTGCGAAACCAGGGATTGAACTCATGCCCTTGTGCTTGCCAGGAAGTGCTTATTCCACTAAGCCATCTCCCTGGTCCCCATGTTGTCTTATTATGGTTCCTGTGAAATATAAAATACCAGTAGGAACTTATCTTTTCTCTCTCTCTTTATTTTTTTTTTTTTTTGTGGTACTGAGGATCAAACTCAGGTGTTTGCACTTGTCAGGCAGGCATATTTTTTTCTCTTTTAGTTCCATGATAAAGAGGTTACTAAAAATTATTTTCCCCAAATATTAAGATATTGCAAATTGTTCACAGTGCATCACCATTCCTCTTATTGTAATTCAAGAAACTCTTCTAACCTAGTCACACATAGGGTGCTTGAGTCCATTGTATAACCTTCTTATCTAAGAGTTTGCCTTTTTTTTTTTTTTGTGGCGGAACCAGGGATTGAACTCAGGCCCTTGCGCTTGCCAGGCAAGCACTTATTCCACTGAGCCCTCTCCCTTGCCCCAAGTTTGCCTTTCTTATTCTAGAAGTTCTTGTGCTGTTTGATAGTAAAAGCGGGACCTCTAGAAGCATATCATTTCTTATTCAGAAAATTAAAATGTTCAAGAGTAAAATAGATTGTCAGGGTTCCATTAGATAGTATGCAGTTGGCTTTTGAGAAATGGAGAGATTTATTGATTATAAGCATTTCTCCATCCTTCCACCCTAAACACAAGGCCTAGTGCAAAAAGGGCAAGTGCTGTACCACTGAGCTACATCTCCAGTCTGAAGTGGTTTTAGAATACATCCAAGACATTGTATAAAAATCTGAAGGTACAAAAGTAGATAAGACCTCCTCAGTAGCATCAAAGAATCCAACATCTAATGTAAAAAATGGATGGATGAATAAGTATTACTGTGTAAATATGAGATAATGGAAGGTGCTGTGAGAATGTAGGGAATATAAATCTGGCTTCTGGTACAAGTTTATGTAAGCTGAATTTTGTAGCAAAGGTAAATAAAGGCCTTGATGGAAGAGGGAATAACATATAAAGGCATTGACATTTCAGCAGCAGTGTTAAATTTATAAATTTGGTATGAAAGAAGTGAAAACTGAGGACAGGATCAGAGGAGATATATCTTTCTCACTTGCACAAACAAGTTAGCTCTACTTCTCTAGGTTTCAATTAAATTCTTCTCAGAAGGGCCCCCTCTGACATCCCCATCTCAAGTTGGTCTCTTAGTTTTTTACTTGATTCTTTTATAGTATTTATGATAACTTAGAATTCTTGTTGTGTTTCCTGCCTTCATGAGGGCATAGGGTTGAGTGTAATATGCTAGGAAGTTTAGATTTAATTTTAAACTATTTGAAAGTCTTCTAAGTACTTTAGAAGAATAACACTCAGTTTGCCTTAAAAAAAAATCACACTGGTGCCAGGTATGTATTACTAGTGCTCTAGGCAAATGTGAAAACAGCTAGCTGCATGCAGAGTAATCCAGTTAGGAGGCAGAGATGCAAAGGAAAATATTAATATGGGAGAGATATTCTTTGTAAGTTCAGTGAAAGTAAAGAAAAAGGGGTCTTGTGTGGGTTTATGGTCAATTATAAATTATACTTATTAATATTGCTATCAAGTTTAGTGACTAATTTTTGGGACTCAATTTTTTTTGTCAGATTTACTTCTATATCTGTTATATTTGTCTCTTGGAAGAAAAAGGACATTTAGCCTGTGAAGTAGTTTTTGTGTTCGTGTGTGTGAGTGTGAGTGTGTGTGTGTGTGTGTGTGTGTGTTGATCCTAATGATTGAACTCAGGCTTTGAGGATGCTAGTAGGTACCCTATCACTGAGCCCACATACCAGGCCACTCTTTGAGAATTTTGTTACCAGGTATGTCTCTTATATATATGTAACAACTTGTACAACCAAGGAAAATATAAGGAATGAATATTTTCTGTATGTGTATAAGTTGAATGTCTCTTTTTCATAATTTCTTAAAAATTTACTATTTTGATGATGCTAATTGTTTCCTTTTCTAGGGAAAACGAAGAATGATGAATGTAATAAAGAAAACTCTTCAGAGATGGATTATTTAGAAAATGCTACTGTGATAGATGAATCTACATTAACACCTGAGCAAAGGCTAGGCTTAAAACAAGCAGAAGAACGTTTAGAAAGAGATCACATCTTTCGTCTTGAGAAAGTATGCTGTGTTGTTTTAGGTTGTTTTTTTTTTTAAGGAAAATGTGTGTTTTATAACTTTTCCCCTAAGTGTAGCTTTTTATTTTTCTTTCACAGATAAGACAGGTGTATTCATCAGTCCTTATTTCTTTTGTCTGTCCTTCTCTCCCTCTTCTCTTTTCTTTCCTTTGTTCAGCAATCACATGTGAGTCTGACTCTTTATTCATTGCAGGGATCAGCAGACTATGGCCTACTTCCTTGCATTATGTTTGAATATGGTCAAATAACCTTTTTTTTTTTTTTGGTAAACAAAGTTATTACAACACAGTATTGTTTATCAGTTTATATTTTATTTATAGTTGCTTTTGTCCTACTATGCCAAAATTGAGTAGATGCCACAGAGAACATATGGCCTGCAAAGCATAAAATGGTAGTTTTCCAAAGCATGAAATATTTACCAGAATTGTTAGTTTCGCTCTTCACAGATTGTTTGTTGACCTCTGATTTATTCCCTCATTAAAAAGACACTGGACACTTGCTGTGTGCTAGGTACTATACTAGTCAAGGTGTATTAGTGAAAATGGCATAGTTTCTATTAGAAGTTAAACATTCATTGGGGTTGATGGAATAAGCTAGCAAATGTTACTTTACAACTTACTAGACATTCTCCTTTTCCCCCTTTTTTTCTCCTATATTTATTGAATACTATGAACTGGGAACTATTTTAGCCACTGGTAACTTGTTTCTTTTTTTTTTTTTGCGGAACCAGGGATTGAACTCAGACCCTTGTGCTTGCCAGGCAAGCACTTATTCTACTGAGCCATCTCCCCGGCCCCAACTTGTTTCTTAGTACTGATTAATTTGTTAATGTAGAAATACACATTCTTAGCGTGAACAGTGAAAACACTGCTTAGGTATTGAAGCAAATAATAATAAATCATACTGTTGACAAATAGATTTTAGGATATTCATGTATGTGCACACAAGGAGATAAGTCATCCTTCTTGAAAACTGAGAAAGGATGGAAAAGAGCTGGAGAATGTAGCTTGGTTGTGGAATGCTTGCCTAGCTTGTTTGAGACCAGTGTGAGGCCCTGGTACAATCTCTAGTACAGTGAGTGGGTTGGGGCAAGGCAGGAAGTGCTATGATTTTTGTACAGTTTAGGTATATGAGATGGTACCTGGAGTGAAAAAGGGAATCCTGGATTATTAATAGAATTTACGTCAGATTATTCACCACATGAAAGAGGAATATCCAAGGGTAGAATTTAGAATATGGGAGTTTGTGTATGTTTGTAGTCTTACAATGTCCTACTCAGAAGAAAGTCTTTTTTGTAATTAGCTATTTTAGTAACTTCTGTTGTTACTTGGTCCTCTCAGTTTCCCTCGCCTAAGCCTGGAATTAGTTATTACTGGAAGTGTCCATTGTCAAGATAAATATTGAATGCCTTTTATATATCATGATCTGTAATAAATGCTTGAATTGGAGCAGGCCTGATATTTTGAAAAACATGGTACTGATTTTCTAAAAGTTCACTAGAGAAAGACATGTAAGCAAACAACAACAATGACAATAGTATAAAAGTAATAGTAATAAGATTTGAAAATAGGATCAGAGAAAAAAGAGTGACCAACTTGAGTTGGGTTCTCAGAATTTTCAATTTGTGAATTCTGCTTAAAGAGGTGACATTTGAGGGACATCTCAAGGATAGGCTAGAAAGGAGTTCATCAGATGGGTAAAAAAAGAGTGCTTTAGGCCTATGTACAGTATTATGGAGGCATGTGTAAAGAAAATGGAAATACATTTTTAGGAAAAGTAAGCAGGGAGCTAGATGAGAAAATACATATGAATGAAGCAAGCAAAGTCAGTTTTTGGGAGAAGGAAGAGAGATTGGGGTAAAATGGATATTTGATGATTGTAGGAATTGTCTAGGGTGGGAGGAAAGCTTGGGAGCATTAGAAGTACTTTATTGTCTAAATTAGATCTATAACAGTGATGTAAAGTCACTGTGACCTTTTTTTATATACCAATTTATTTCTCATGCCCTCTAAACTTTGTTTTTAATTCAGTGTACTTTTATCTGTAGCAACATTTGACACTGAGTGTCTTTTAATTTATCAGATCCTTGCATTCGTGTTTTGTTTTTTTTTTTCGGAACGGGGGATTGAACTCAGGCCCTTGTGCTTGCCAGGAAAGTGCTTATTCCACTGAGCCATCTCCCCGGCCCCTGGGTTCATTGTTTTAAAGATGTAGGTTTTGTATTAGGTGAGAGGGTAGATTTTCCTTCAGTGAATGTTAAGTATTGCCTTGCAAGTACTTATAATCTCCATGCCCAGAAATCTTTATTTTAGCTTATCTGTAGAAGTTTCAAGTTTAATCTGTTAAATGGCAAATAAAATATTATAATGATAATAAAATACTTAAATTTTTTTCATATGTCTCTACTGTGAAACTAGAAACTTTATGATGGTAAAAATATTTTTGTTTTATTTGATATTTTGCTTTCTAAATGCCTTGCACATAACTTTGGTTCTACATTTAAGAGATACTGAGCCTAGTGGTCAACTGCATGGATTTTTGAGCTTTTCATCAATAAAATGAATTTGATAAAACTAACCTCCTAACCTCATTGAACTGTTTATAAGGATTAAATAATGTAAGTGATGTTCTGGCCACATGGTTTAGTGTATAGTAGACACTAAAAACTACATGTAGAATTGAATTACTTTATCAGTTAGGGTAACTTTTATTATGTTATAAGGAGATAAAAACAGGCTTCAGTGATACTTAGTTGAAGTCAGTTGAGATTATCATCCTAGGTTTCTGACTCCTCATTCAGTATTCTACCAATTTTTTTTTTTTTTTTTTTTTTGAGACATGGACTCCCTATGTAATCCTGACTGGCCTCCAAATTTCAGGAGTCTTCCTCCTTAGCCTTCCGAGTGCTGAGATTACAGGTGTACACCACCACACCTGGTCTCTATCAAACTTTGTTTTTTTCTT